TCTTTTGACTTTTGGAGGCTCAATCACAGGGAGGTCGTCATCATCACACATGACGCCTTGAGGATCCACATCACAGTTGATGAAAGCCGATTGGTAATCAGCTTCACCTTCTCCTAGGGTGAACCTTGCGATCATCTCCGCCCTTACATCGTCGGTGGGGTTACAGAAGTCACTGCCCTTGACAATATATGGGATGTTTCCCTCTACTTCTAACATGATTTTCTTGTAGTTCGGGGAAACCATGTACGGGTTGCCGCAGGCTGGCCATATGAATGTGTAACCTTCCTCCATGCATTTCTTTCCAACAGACAGTACTGAAGGAGACTCATCTAAGACGAACGGGGAGTAGGTAGAGTCAAATTCGTCGAAATGAATGTCGGCGACTCCCTTTGTGGATGTCACTCCATTTGCGGTATAGAATGACATTGATTGGTCGCTTTCTCTCACTTCCAGACCTAATTTCTTGGCTCTGCCTTTCGATATCAAATCATACCCACATCCTGTGTCCATGATGAACTTTGTTCTTGACCCTTTGGCTGGAATAGACAATGTCTTTGTGTCTGCATGATCTTTCTTTCCCTCGCATACATGAGGAATGACTTTATGATGGAAAACTAGGCCGTCATCTTCGTCAAAAGACATAGTGACCGCTAGGTCACCCTTTGGTCCAACTGGTATTCGGACCCTCTTGATCTCAGTGTAGGGACCATCAATATGCCTCTTGCCTCTGCGACCTTTTCTTCAAATCTGATTTGTTCTTTCCTCGTGTAGCAGGTGAGCTCTTTCTCATCGTATCGTCTGATGTCTGGACGTAGAGGTTTCCTTTCTACTACCTTCCATTTGTTCCTGACTGAGTAGATCGCTTCGTTCAACATGATCTCACAAGTCTCTTCATCAAAGGATACTTTTGCACCTCCTTCTCTTGCCTTGGCGGATGCAGCAATCCCTTCATCTTCGGATTCGTCCATGAAGAGTTCACCGTCAATGGCTGGGGCTCCAGGCTTCGCCTTAGGCTTCGGTTTGAGTTTTGCCTTGGGCTTTGGCCTATCGTCTCCTGAGTCAGCTGGTGCAGATATCCCTTTCTTAGGAGAGGCTTTTGGGTCATGGTAGAACTTGCAATCCTTCCCTTTGTCACAAGTTCCTCGAATCCACATCCAACATACTGGCTTGTCATTCTTTCCGACAGAAGATCCTCTGGATGGTGATCTGGGTTTCTTGTGACTGAATGGGCAATCTTTCCCCATAGTGCAGTTACCTTTCACGAAGTATTTGCATGGTATCTTCTTCTTGTCTGTACTCGGACTTCGGCTGCGATCCTTTCCATCACCTTTACCTTTCCCCTTTCCCTTTTTGTTCTTGTCTTCAGGATGCTTCTTGGGATTGGGTTTCGGCTTCACTGCAGCAGCGTCTTCTGAGACAACCTGTTCTTGTTGCCCTTTTGGTTTCTTCTTCGGATCAGCTGGTGCAGCTTTCAGTTTTGGAGCAGGTCCGCCTGGTTTGAGATTCTGAAAGATATTGGCCACATTCTTCACTGCCTTCTCCTTTTCCAGGATCATCCTGTCTTCAGTTTGCCGTTCGATGTGCCTTCTGATCATATCACGTAGATGTTTGTATGTCTTCTTGGCATCATCGTCGTTCATGCTGTTGTAGGCGCTGATGTCGTATGCCATGAGGTTTGAGTTCCTGATCTTTCTCCATAGGAGATCCCGAAGAGTTTCGTCGCTCGGGACGTCAACGGGCTTCATTCCTGCCAGAATCTCATCCCAAGTGTGGAAGAACAACGATAAGTTCTTGTCTCCTTGATATTCTAGTTGGTAGAGGTGCATTGAAGTATATAAGACTTCCACATTTGATGTTGTCTTGAAATTCATAAGGATCAGGGCTAGGACCTCTCTTCCCTTTATGAGGCTTGATGTTCTCCCTTTTGCATTGATCCTCGTCCTCAACTTCATAGCTACACCTGAACCATCATCTTTCGCATCCATGACGACCTTGGTAAGAGCTAGGCCGAGTTTGGCATCGATTGAATGGAATCTTTGGTCTCCTGAGTCGACAAACTTGTCCGGATCAGGATCGTCCATGGCTTCTTTGATCCAGTCGATCCAGGGCTCTTGATCTGAATCATTGGCCGCAATGATGATCGATTGAATGAGATTTGCCTTCCATAGTCCAAGATCATTGATCCTGGGCCATGACGGAACGTTTATCTTTGATTCTTCCTTCCTCGATACTTTCATGATTGTAGAGGTTGCCGGTGCAAGATGAGATGAAGAGGATGCTTCTGCTTCTGAAATCTTGTCCCTCAATGATTTGTTCGCCTCGGATAGCTCAATTGATTTCTCCCTTTCCTCGGCGTACTCATTGTGGGTTTCGGCATACCATTCATACATCTCATCTCGGCTCTCTGTCATTTCATTGTACCCGTCCTTGTAGTGCTTCGCCTCCTCTTTTGCGTTCCGAACCTCATCTTCCTCGGACGCGTGGGTTGGTAACCCGCGGTCTCTGGAACTAGGACGCTTGCTGTACCGAGAGACTATGGGTGCCATTCGTGCTTCTGCTTTTAATTTCGCATTTTCCATAATGACATTCTTTGTCTCCTTCTGGCTTTCCAATAGTGCATTCTCCAGTTCTCTGATCTTCTGTTGAATTTCAGCACCATCATCGCCGAACATAGGAGCTCTCATCATATTCTCTCTTTTCAGCTGTGCGTTGGCTTCGGATAGAGCGAGGTTGGCGTCTTTCAACTGTTGTCGTTCACGGATGGAACCTTCTAGGACTTCGTTGTTGAATATTTCTCCTTTTGCGATAACCTCCTTTGCGACGTTTGCTTCGTATTCATGGTGGCTCGCCTTCATTTCTGCCATTTCTTTAGCAGAGACTTCAGTCTGGCATACAAATATCTCCATCCTCATGCCCACTTCCATCTCTTCTATCTCCGCTCTCGCGTTGAGTTCAGCTCCACGTGCCATAGCTAGTTGACCTCGTAGATGATCAATAACCATAGCTTCCTGATTGCTCTGATCTTGAGATGAGTGAACACTGTGTTGAAGACGTCTTTCCCTGACCTCACTGTTCCATTGTTCTTCTCTCTGGTGTTGGATCACCTCGTGCATGTTGACATTCTCATCCTGTAGCGCAATCATTCTAGCTTGTATCTGGTCAGCTATTCCGACAAAGGCTGTGTTCTCATCCTGAATGGCTTTTGATCTTCTATTGATCGCCAATGAAGGTTCATTCTGTTCTTGGATGTGTCCAATTGCTGCTTGAAGCTCTTGGGACATTCTGTCCTTCGTTGCTTTCACAGATTCAAGCTCTGAATGTTCTTGATGAGTTTCTTGTGCAAGCTCTTGATATCTCATGTAGATATGTTCAGCTGTCGATTCCGCCAAGCGTAGCTTGTGTTCGAGCTCTTCAATTCTTATTGTCGCTCCTTCATCTTCCTGTGTCATCTCTTGTAGATGTTCCTGCATCTTCCTGTTGTAGTCAGACATTTGCCTGAACTCCACTTCAGCCTCGTGGTGTAGTCGTGAGTATCCGGCTTGGATGCATTCATATTCTTCATGAAAATTGTATGCGTTTCTCGCCGATCTCAATTCTTCACCCAGCTGAATCTCTCTTCTTTGCTCTTTTGTTCCTCTATCATCGTCACGTCTCTTCTCTATACTCCTTCTTGGGGATCTCGCGGTAGACGTTATAGGCGATGTAGATCTTGTTGTAGCTCTCATCGATCTTCTTGGTCCTACGGGTGCAAGATCGGTCAGATTCCGAGCCGGTGGCACGGATCTTTCCGAGATTTGTGATCCAGTAGGCATAGTGATAACGTCAGCATTTGCTGATGAATCAGTACCCATTGTAGAGTCTGGTGACGAAATGGTGTTGGGACCACCAGGAGCAGCGAATGAATAGGGTTCGCTTCCATTTCCTCCTGAGCTTGACATTGCAGGTTTCTGTAATGACTAGTCTTGTTCTTGGTCTCGTGTAGCTCGTACGGCTATAAAGAGCGCGTACGGCTGATAATCTGCGAGTGGATCTTAATCAGCGAAGTTTGAAGCTATCACTGACGATCCATAAGCGGCGTAGCGTCGGAACGGAAACCGCACCTTTTCTAGTCGCTTGATCCTTGAGCCAAAGTACATATGGTACATATATATGTACAAGTTGCACTGTACGTGTCGCTGCACTTCCATTCGCATATATATACCCTACAGTATTTGTGCATACATGTGGTAGTTATATACTTGCAAATTGATAGAGATCGCCCTCAGTTTTGCCCGAAATAGTATGCAGGCTTCTGGCGAAAAACTCCAGCTGGTGCCCTCGGGTCAAAGCTGAGTAAGTTTCAGACTTTGTTGATACCAACTGAGGATGATCCAGCCACTATAATGATGTCACTAGTATACGTACTCTAAGTCATTTGTCTCCTGTACAGTCATAGCGCGCGACAAATCCATGTTCGCGCGAATAACCCGGTCACAGAAGCTTCCTGAGAGCTGGACAAGGTTTTTTTGAATAGAACCGTTCAAGAAATGTGGTGGACATTTCTGATTCTCAAAAATACATATCATTCATGAACAGCGAAGCGAAGATCTTCTCTTTGGTTCTTTAGAATGTCCAACAGTTTCTGGGGTGTTTCTCATGCCGTTCAAAGAAGCTGAGAACCTCTTGAACAGTATAAACCTTCGCCTCCGCCATATTTTCGGGATATACTTAGTCCCTATACCATCCCAGAACATGGTCACAATTCTCCCAACATCGGTCAGCACACGTGGTTTCGTCACGGAAAAGCATCTGAATCTCCCTACTAGTAACAAGGGCATTATTACTGTAGTAGCAAGAAGCTACTAGTAACAAGTGCATCGCTACTAGTAACAAGTGCCTTACTAGTAGTAACAAGAAGCTACTAGTAACAA